ATGAAACGCCATTTTCTGGCCGAGACCCGGAGGCTCCCAGGAGCTTACTAGGCTGATATGCTAATGTCAGACTTTGGCATCAGTCATGTGTATGGAGTTCTGTGGGCCTACCGGGGACCACGAGCCAGTCTCTGGCCTCTTCCCTCCCCTCAGAGAGACAAGAAGCCCCAATGGCCTATAGAAACCCCTGTGTGGTTGGAAGCATTCTATGTCTGCCATCGACCGGGTCAGGCACCCAGAAAGGTAAGCATCCCAAAACAAACCCCTATGCTGGTGAGATTATTGCTACCACAAGTCGAACAAGTGGATAGAATTCCCCTAAAAGAAACAAGCAAACGAGCATGATGTCACACATCGCCGCGCCGCTGTCTGCGCAGCTCCCTCCTCCCCGAGAGGGGGAGCCTCAGACCCACCGCGCCAGCTATCCACCATCAGTTCTGAGGCTGGATGTCAAAAAAAGTAAAAAAACGCCGACCGGAGGGAAGAAGAGAGGGATGCTGGAGAGCCTCCGGGTCTCACCCAGAAAATGGAGTTTCATTACATTCAATGCTGGTTTTGTAGGGGGAGACCCTACGGCTCCCCGGAGCTAACTACCCACAGAGTAAAGTAGAAGGACTTACCTGGGATGCGATCGCCGCTCACTCTTCAACTCTAAATCGAGACAACTGGCTGCAACCGCCGACCCAAACCAACACAGGCCCGACAAGGCCCAGGAACATTTATGAGATAACGAGCAGCCAGAACCCTGTTCGACCACCAAAATCCCCGCGCCTGAATGTCAGCCCAGGACATGTTGTTAAAGACGGCGGCAAGAGCCGCAAACTTGTGAACATCATGGGTGCGGTGATAGACCGCAGGCTGGATAGCCTTAAGAATTCTGCGGATGACCTGAGAGACCCGCGAACAGGGAAGGAGGGAAACCGGATCAACCCAAAGCGCATCCCCAGACACAGAAGCCGTGGCGCGCAAAGAACAGCAGAGGGCCACAATCGGACACAAAACATGATGTACCTCCGACCTAACCAAGCAAGCAGCAACAACCCAAGGACCCCTTCAGAAAGCAGCAGTCGCATTCTGTGCCAGAGAAGAAGGAGACTTACTGCAAACAAACAAACCTATCACCACGACCGAAGGAGCAGAAACCCCTGCGCCGGAGGAGAGCATGAAGCTCACCAACCCGACCCCCAGAGGCTAATGCCAACAGGAAAAGAACCTTCAAGAAACAATCCTGAACCGAAGGGGCTACTACAAACCGAGAAGAAAGAAAAGAGAGCACTTGTTCCAAAGACCAGGACGGCTCAGGCGGTGCATGAGCAGGCCGGAGGTGAAACAACGCACGAGACAGCTTGCGAAACGGCGCAAATGTAACATTAATGCCGAAAGCAAACTGAAGCGGCTCCGCAAGCAACGCACAATACGAGGCGACAGTATATGGCAAGATGACGGCCCCGAACCGCCACAAGAGAAGGACAAGACCACGCCAACAAAACGCAGTTACCGAAGAAGGGACAAAAGGAAAAGGAAGGACCCCCAAAAAAACCCACACTGCCGCCAAGAAGAAGCACGCAGGTGGGACACCCTCAACGAAACCACCCGAACACCAACAGAAGGTGAGAGACTCGAGGCAGAACTGAACCAGCCCCACCATGGACCATGTGAGCCTATGAAGAGGCGGAGCCACAGGAAGATCTCGGGTGCGACCACCGAGCCCGCAGAGTCGGAACCCAAACCGGCAAAGGAGATGGAACATCTGCCATATAAAAAAACTCCCCAACGCCAGCGAGCCCGCCAGGAGATCAGAGACTACGGCTCCGATGCGAGACCCTAGAGAAGGGACACCGCGGGACCTTGAAAATGACAACAGGCAGGGTAAGCCAGGAAACCAGGAACCCAAACCTGGCAATAGGAGAGTCAAAAGGCACAAACAAAACACACAACAATGTGTAAGATAAAACACAAGAAAAAGGACCAGAACAGCCCCAGCACCAGCGGCCAAGGACAAGAGTGTAGAAGGAAGATGTTGAACGAAGAAGACAAGTAGCAAACGGGAACGAAAAGTTACGCCAACAACACAGACGCTGGTCAAGTCCCAACACAAGACGAAACTGAAACAGGTGCAACGGTATGCCACCAGGCTAGTACCCAAACCGAGGGGTACGAGTTACGAGGAGAGACTACGGGAAGTAAACTTCACGTTACTGGGAGACAGAAGAGCTAGAGGGGACATGACCACCACATTCAAGATTCTCAGAGGAATTGATAGGATAGATAAAAACAGACTATGGAACCCAAGGGGCACACGCACCAGAGGACACAGTTGGAAAGGAGTGCCCAAAGCCATAGAGACGTCAGAAAGAAGTACTTCAGTGTCAGAGTAGGAGACAAATGGAACGCACGAGGAAATGATGTGGTAGAGGCCAACTCCACACACAGAATCAGGTGTAGATAGGATAGAGCCCAGTAGGCTCAGGAACCAGTACAGTAGTTGAATGACAGGTGAGAGGTGGGACCAAAAAGCCAGAGCCCAAGCCCTGCAAACACAACTAAGTAAGGACAACTAGGTAAATACAGAGGTCATGAAGACGTCTGGTGAGTGACAGGTGAGATGCAGGACGAAAGAGCCAAAGCTCAACCCCAGCAAGCACAACTAGGTAAGGACAACTAGGCGAGTACAGAGAATCCAACATGAATGGAAGGGCAAGGCCAGGCACTGCAAGATGGGCAAGGAATAAGTGACCCAGATAAAACCACAAAAAACAGGGCAGTGATCCCCCTTGTATCAAACAACACAGACGAACACGGAAGGCCCCAAGAAGAAGCACGCAAGGGCCAAACAAAAATGCCACAACCAATCCCCAACACGCATCCACAGTATGAAAACTGCAGCAAAACGTCACTACACAAGATCCTGACACAGTAACATTTACCTCATAACATCCACCCCTACCAATGTACCTCGTAACATGATGGAGGTGGGGTCCCTTGTTTGACTCAAGCATGGGTTGGACATGCATATGAGTGGGACTGGATGGGCACAAATAGGAGCTGCCACGAATGGGCCAATAGGCCAACTGCAATCACCTGTGTGCTGATGGTCTACTCGTATCCAAAAATCACGAACCAGCGCCTGGCCGAAGGAGATGCCAGACCGCATAAACTCACCTGCAGAACATAGGCACAAACGTGTCACGACACAATGCAGCCGAGAAGATTCCGGGAGCACCGCTAGGGAAAGAAAGCCAGAGCCGCACACGCAGGAGAAGAGTAGGGTAGAGGCGAAAGAGGCGCCGCACACCCATAACACAGGGAAAACCCTGTGTCCTCCCCATAGCTGCAATCCAGAACACCCCCAGTAGCTACGGGGCACGGCCTGGAGAATGGAGAGGAACGAGAGGCGAAGCACCCGAGAGAAAAGGACACAAAACACCAGCACTTATGCACACCACCCAGACCAAAACAAACTCCCACTGTGCATGCGCAGGACACGAGGTCCAAAGGCACCAACCAGGAGTCTGAAAAGAAAACGAACAATGCCGAGACAGAGCACGGAAAGAAGTGTACTACAAAAAGAATGAGACAGGACCAAAAACAGAAAAGAAGCACGGAAGAGGACCAACAAGCCCGAGAAAGGACTGGAAGGAAGCCAGACCGGAAGACAACAGATGTTCCAATAATACGGGAAGAAGCGAAAACCTTCTTGAACCTTCGAGAACACACAGAAGCAAACACTAAGCACGAAGGCACAGAAAAGCTCCCGAAACCAAAAGACATGCAGAACCCATAGAAGAGGGGAACATGAAGGAAAAGTCCCATTCCAAGGTAGAAGGGTGAATAAACGGAGAAGAGAACCCACCGCCAGGACGGAACGACGGACCCAAAGAACAAGGAACCGAACATGGGATGGACCGATGCCCAACAACTCGTACGGAGAGGGGGAAAGAAAAACCCCACTCCCGGAACCACAAGACCTGCACAGAGAGTAGAAAACCCCGGCGGGGTCCAACGTGGCCCGAGACCCCCCAAGTCAGCCCTTCTCCAGCCCCGGCAACCCATACGGCAGGCCCCGGTGTCCAAGCCGTCCCCCCAAAGCCCCAGCCTCACAAGAAAAAGTCGGGGCAGCCGGAAAAGTACTAAAGAAGGGAGACCACTGGCAGATTCATACCACACGGCTGGAGGAACCGGCTCGAATGCCTCCGTCGCTATCCCGGAAGGGGAAATCCCCGAGGACCTTCTCCAAGTACTGGAGAATCACTCCTGGCTCACGCACCACCTAGAAGACAGTCACCACACACTAGGTACAGTGCTGAAACAACCACCGGAGCCAGAGCACACGACCTCAGCCTCTAGCATTAGCCTTAGAACTGATAGTGGATAGCTGGCGCAGTGAGTCTGGGGCTCCCCCCCTTCTCCCTCCCGGGGAGCTGCGCAGACTGCGGTGCAGCGACGTGTGACGTCATGCTCGTTTGCGCGTTTCTTTTAGGGGAGTTCTATCCACTTGTTCAGTTTGTGGTAGCAATAATTTCACCAGCATAGGGGTTTGTTTTGGGATGCTTACCTTTCTAGGTGCCTGACCCAGTCAATGGCAGACATAGGAGGTTTCCAATCACACGGGGATTTCTATAGGCCATTGCTCCCTTTGCCTCTCTGAGGGGGGGTTCAGGTTCTGGCTTGTGGTCCCCGGTAGGCCCACAGAACTCCATACACATGACTGATGCCAAAGTTTGACATTAGCATTTCAGCCTAGTAAGCTCCAGGGGAGCCGTAGGGGCTCCCCGCACAAAAATCCTGCGTCTAACAAATTTGACATGGCACAAAATAGTGATATTGTACTGTCACCATAGGCGGGCTTTCTTTCCTTAAAAGGAACTGACAGTGCTGGTCGGTGTCTCAAAATTGCCCAACAGTCACAAAGAGGAACTACTGTATGACTCTCATGGTTCTCAGTCTTCATATTCAAGAAATATTTTACTGATATGAAATATGCAATTAAAGACAAGATATCTTTAATATCTATTTTTTATTAAAGTTAAAACATTCCAAATAATACAAAATTAATATAATGAAATTAAAAAAACTACAATAATAAATTCAATGCTTCAGTGTCCTTTCAAAGACAAGCATTACAAAATGACTACCACTGAACCCTAATCTCTTTGGCATAATTTATTCCTATATTAAATTAGAAATACACATTATGTATTTATATATAACACACCAAAACCTGCAGCCCTCCTCCTCTAGTGCTTCAAAACTAAGAGAGGGGGGAACTATCAGGGGAAAGTGTCAAACCATTATGACTATACAGCACTGGGAAGGGGTCAGGATAAGGATTTGGAATGGGGTGGAGGGGGGGGGGGGAAGGAATGGTGCCCAACCACTTCGACAGTCGGGGGTTGAACGCCGACTGGCATGAACCGAGACCATCGCTCTACCGTCCAGCCAAATTCAAATCTAAGGAAAAAAAAAGGGGACTGAGGAACGTGGGACGAATTAAATCAATAAAATGGAGTCTCCATTCCAGACCTGCCTGGAAAAAGGATCATCTTTCCTAGCCTCAGTCCTCATAATGTTCCAGGAATTTAGTCCTGTTGGAACTCGGTCCGTCCCATCTCTGACTTGCATACTGTGCATCAAAGAGAGCAAAATACTGTATACACACTCATACGTTCACAACACAGAATGAGCCAACGAATACCAGTTTGGTTCATTCCATCTCAACATTAAGAGTAGATATGACAGGAGGAATTAAGGTCAGGAGTCAATGTATTGGACAAAAGGCAGTTGGAAAGGGGAAATGAAGAGCCGATGGTTCAATCCTCAAAAAGGACAGAAACGATTAGGCATAATTCCTTTCACCTGATGCCTCTATTCACTTTGTAGAATATTTTCCATTTTTTGTAAACTAATAAATTATCACCTAAATAATGAAACACTCTTAGTAACATGAGCTAAACTGAGTGCATGGTAAAAATCACAGAATCTTTGTTTATGGATGATAAGGTTCCAGAGTTTAATTTTTTTTTTCCCAAGGACATTCCTAAGTGAGCCCTAAGCCTCTGGCTGGCTAAATAGGTACCTGGGAGTTAGACAACTGCTGTGGGTTGCATCCTGGGAAAGGTCAAGACACTAGTTGGCCTACGAGAGGACCTCAACCTCGATAATCCTAAGTAATATACTGTAAAGACTTCCGAGTCCCCAACAACACGAATTATTTTATGTCCCAATGAACAATATGATGATCGGATAAGGCTCCCTGAACCCGTGAGAGTTTAGGGAGGATCCAAGACCCAATATAACCTTTTAGACTACCACCATTTGCTAATTAGGATAACAGCATCAACATAAGGAAAAATAGCAAAACTGGAAGCCCTTCCGATCATTATACACACGCACGATACATGGGAAGCTAATTCTGGGCTATACTGCCCCAGGGGGCGAGAGATCTACCTCGGATCAACACCTCCGAGCTATCATACATCTGGTGCAAATATGCTCTCCAAGTTTCTAAAATATTTGAATTTTACATTGCATTAAATTAATTTGAATTCCAGTGTACCATGTTGCATTATTAAAGTGTAATATTTAATTTTTTATATTACAGTATCATTTATTTTGTTGTGTAATATGTGTATATTTCTCCACCCCTGAAATGTATTCTATTTTATACTGAAACAGCCAAGAAAAATACCATACATATATTTCTTGGTTTAACATGAGGTTAGTGGGGAAAGCATCCCTGCGACGAACCAGTAGCGTACTACACCGTAGCCAAGTACAGTGTAGTGAACTTCTACGCGCAGGAGGCGGGGCCCCTTGACCTTACCTTGAGGTGCTTCCGGGGCTTAGCGTCCCCGCCTCCTGGTTGCTGGACTGGTCAACCAGGCTGTTGGACGCGACTGCTCGCAGCCTGACGTATGAGCCACAGCCTGGTTGATCAGGTATCCTTTGGGGGCCCCAACACCTGTAGCTCTCCCCCTCCCCAGTTGTCACTGATAGCTAAGGGACAAGATGGCCAAGTTGTTTTTTTCAACCAAAAACAAAACCAATGTTGCAGTTATACTACAACAACAAAGCAAACTGACCATTCATTAGGATAAAGACTCCTCTGATTTACAACGATACCTTACATGACCATCAGGAGGGTCACGGACAAGTCGCCAGCTTCCTGTCCCCGTCAAGGCCACTAAAGATGGTGGTTAAATTCCCATAAATAACAATATTCGAAGACTAATCTACTTAAATAAGCATTTTCTGCTAAATATACCAATCTCTTGAATATGTCCAATACAGTATAAGAAAGTTTGGTCAATTCCATTTAAAACAATGCTGAATATCACAGACTAGAAACGGAAAATCTTCGATGGAATTTGACCCAAACATCAATCTTCATTCGGGTGTGACACAGTAATTATACAAAAAAGTACTAAGGCTGCAGGGCATTGAACACTGACTGTGTCACAGGATATTAAAAAAAAAAAAAAAGTTTCTGGATATCATTCACTCTCACAATAAAAGAGCAGAAAGCCAAGCAATTTCGAAGTCAAAATCACCGAGGATATTATCAAGGGATATCATATTATCAAGTATAGATTATACTCGACTAGATTTCCTTCACTAATTAAAAAGACAGTGCCAACCCTGCCGGCATGTGTGTGTAGAAATATTATGTGGCCAACAAAACACTAATTTCAACTAGAGAGCTGGGAGCTGTAAGACCTCTTCCTATACTTTACACACTACACGGGACACCATGAGCATGGCTCTCATCCTGTAACTACACTTAGGTAATAACACCTTAAAATGCCAAATGCTGCATCATGTTCCAGCTATTTTCCAACATTTGCCAATGGCCATTTTTCATTCCTTCTCTATTGTTCTCCTCTCACATGCAGCATGTCAGACATTATCTTTAATAAATTGTCATCCACACTAATCACTAATTCCTCTGAGCTTCAGTAGTAGTCAGGGGAAAGTAAAAAATTCCAGTTTGACAGCAGTAGTTGCTTCTGGAAACTTTCCTTATTTAAGACTACTCAATAGCTCAATCGCTAGAGCTTCAGCCTCACACGTGTGGGGTCCGCGGATTGAGTCTACTAGAGCCCAGGTGAATGGGACTATCTTTAATGCACCCCCTTACCATCCATCCCCCTTATTTCTGTAGCCCAAATGCATGTCTGCAACAGCCCATACAAGCAGTCCCCAACGAGCGATGCGGTGGAGGAGTGTGACGTTTGCTTGTTTCCTTAAGCTTGGAGGGAGTTCTGCCTCTTTTTTCGTTTTTTTCTTGTACAGTAATTTTCTTACCGTGTGGGGTTTGTTTTGTTATGCCTACCTTTCTGGGTGCTTAACCCTGGTCGATGGTAGACAAGGAAACCCCCAACCACAGGGGAGTTTTCCAGGGCCATTGCTCCCTGCTCCTCTCTGAGGGGGCCAGGTTCTGGCTAGTGGTCCATGGTAGGCTGAACTCCATAGACTAATGCCCCGGTCTAATGTATCACATATTAGCCCGATAGTTCCAGGGAGCCGTAGGGACTCCAACAGAAAAGTCACCGAAGAGTATGAATTCAGCAAATACTGGGGTTCCCTAGTCAACCTGTCTTCAAGGCTAGGCTCATCCTAGAAGCAGTCAACCCTTACACACATTCTTCAATTTTAATGTACTATGTATTCAAAATCTGTACTTTCTCACAAATGAATTATTAAAATTATTATACATTATAATTTTATAAATAGTTAGGTGTAGGTTGGGTTAGGTGTTTAGGTTCTATTGTCAATTACTTGGAAGAAGCATTTAGAAGTGTGATTCAAACAGAGAACGCAAGTGCAGCACTGTTCAAGAAAAGCTCATATAGCAATATACATACCATACTTTTATATTCTAATGAAAATATTTAACATGGAGGGGGGGGGTGTTAGAGATCTAGCTCTGGTCCACACCCATGTCAACACACACTGTAAGTCTGTCTTACATTTCCCTGTAACACTGTGCCGAGTCTCACCTTCACTATGTTTAGTGACCTCGTGTTATTATCACACCAATTACCTGCACACCCTTATTAAAATGCAGAATATCAATACTGTATGACGATACTTAGTTGATACAGTAATAATGTTCCCACACAGTATCGCACACAATACACAAAGCACGACCCCTTTACCTATGGTAACAAGATGGACATAACTACATAGCATCAAAATGGAATTTGTGAGCATCCTGTTGCTTTTCTCGCTTGTCCTGCTGCTTCTCTCGTCGATGAAGAATGCCAATGATGGCAGCCACAAAGAGGCAAGTGCCGACTAGAGCTCCTGCCGTCATGAGCATGGCTTTGCTGGGGGTTATGAAGAGCTTGCTCACCCAGCGGTCAGGATACTCCATGGGATATGGAATCACAATCAGCTGAGAGTTCGGGATGATCTGTGTAAAGCTGCTTTTGAACGTTCCGGATGTGTTTCCTCTTGGGATCCCAACCTCCATCACCTCCACAAAATTCCAGTTGCGCCCCAAACCAAAGACCGTATACGGAAGCTGAAGTGCATAGTGCGCCGACTGGAGGAGCTGCGTGGCTCTCGAGCGCTGAGTGCTCCCTGTTGCTGTAGTTATGGAGTATGTGATGGATGGGCCAGGTTGGTTAGTACCATAGGGAATGTTTTTTAGCGGACAATCATTTCCATAACAACGCCCAGTGGGAATCAGTACCTGGCATGGAAGAAAACCTTTATAAAAACCTCCATAGCTATAAACATGCACGGTTTTCTATGCCACCTAACCTAATTAATATTTTACATTATATTTACAAAAGTAAATAACATTTAACAGAATATTGTAACTATAAACTGTAGTTTTTGAAACTGCCTCATCATAGGACAGACGGACTTCTATAAAATGTTGAAATAAATATCAATACCCTTTAACGAAGGCTTTCAATCCTGCAGTACATGAACATCATCATATTACTAAATATTTGTGTCCCTTTCAAACCCCAAATACAGTACCTATTGAAGTGAATACTTAGGTGATGCCATGGTTAAAACAAAACAAAAAACATAAAATGTATGCAATCGAAACATGAAATTATAGTTATCATGACACTAGAGAACATAGTATTTGGGCATCACGCACCAACAGCTACTTGGTTGCTCAAACCTTGCACACTAATTTACATACATACAAACCCACCCTCCTAGTTTAAATTTTCCTCCTTAAAAAAAAATAAGCAGGTGCAAATTTGTAATATTTGAAATGGCAAGAAAAAAAAAGGAGGCCCCACCTGAATAGTATTATAAAAACATTCATTCAATGACAAGCAGGCAAAATTTCTCTTCAACTCACCTTCACAAAGACAGCATCATATTCAACAGGATCCTTGTAGACATTGAGATGGTACGTTCCATCGGCCGCCTTACACACCAAGAGGACGTCAAGTGTGCCGTCCTCTTGGAAGTCACAGAAGGTACCCAATACTGTCTCACCAAAGTCTTTGAACAAATCCCACTTGGGCACAAACTTGCGAGGGTGCTTGCATTTGTCATCCCCACATGCGACATTTTCCATCAGGATCACTTGAGCCTTCTCATTTTGGTCGAGGAGAGTAACTAGGAAATCGGGGTAACCATCGAGGTTATAATCACCAACACGCAAAGTGATTGTGTCTGAATACCTGTAAGATTTGGTTGCTTGTGGAGGGTATCCCCATGTGTTCCCTTTTGGGTCAACAAAACTAACATCCAGTTCGACCCAGCCTGCTTTGTTTGACGACTGAAAATCATAAATAAACACAGAACTTTTTCCACATTTCGCATCCATACAAACTGGTACTATTGCTTCAATGTCCCCATCCAAGTCCACATCCATAAACGAGGTCTGGCCAATATGCGTCATATTTTTCCATGGTGTAATAGTCTCATTGTAAATGTAAACACCATTGGAAATACTCCAGATCTCAAAGTTTTTCTTAGTCGTGACCCAAAGGTCAGCTACTAGGTCACTGTTAAGATCAATAAATGCATGTGAACTTGGTTGTTTAAGTTCTGAATGACTGTCATTATACTCAGCCATAGGTTCAGCCTTTGGTGATTTTCTATCTGGACCAAATATCCAAAAAGTTCGCTGACCTGTCTCATCTTCCCCAAACAAGTCTGGAATCATATCACCATTAACGTCCATGACCAAAGGTTGTCCCCGTAGAGTCAGCAATGGGGCCTTTTCTGAGCCACATTCTAGTGTCATATTAAGGAGGTTACCCCAAAGGACAAAAACCTGGTAATGGGGTGCCACATTCTTGTTGCTCGACACAAGGAGTACATCCATCTCTCCGTTTCCATCAAAATCGCCAGGTACCAAGCTTTTGATGCTGAGGGATTCGTAGGTGCACGCAGGCCCAGCATTTGGCTTTGGTTCCCGCATAAGTGGCTGTTCACTGTAAGATATTAACACTTTCATGTTTTTCCCATCTTCTGAGACCACAAACAAGTCTGTTAACTTATCAGAGTTAAAGTCTCCAAAGGCAGCAGGCAAGTATTTGGTGTTGCCACCGAACACGAGGTCCGTGATGTTGAGTGCCCACGAGGGCAACACAGCCACACACAAGAGTGTAAGATGACACGCCAACACTTTATATCCTCTCATTTTGCCGAGATTCACTTTTCACATTTAACATTCAAATATAAGCCACTTGGTATAACTTTACCAACAAGTTACAGTAATTATTCAGAGGCACACTGAGATAAGTCTTTTTAATGTCTATATTATTATTTTCATCCAACACTCCAGTTTTTATTAAGAGCAGTAATGGCCAAGGCAGCTATTTCTGCTGGTGAAACTGATGCGTCTCTCCCCTCCTCAGCTTGCCTGTGAAAGAAACATCACATAAGGCCACTGCTTAAAGCTTGGCAATCTTAACCTTGGTGATATCATGGAAGCAAACTTTATAGTCATTAATCCTTGAATTAATCAGGACTCAGAGCCTGTCAAAAACATTATAGAAAACGTAATCTGCACAGACTCGTAGGCAAACTGTATAAAATACGTTTGATATTGGCAATTTTTTTTCTATCATAATTTAGAATAATGAAGCAGAGACTTATTATGGCCTCTCAAAACATTACAGGAAATGCAATCTGCACAAACTTGATAACAAAAATTACAAAATATGTATGATATTTACAATGTTAGTTTTTCCTTCACCTCGTAGAATAATCGTCAAAGCCGAGATAAACTTAAGTCTTGTCCAAACCACAGAAAAAAAGGGCCGCAATAAATCGACAGTTTCCCGATCACACCCAACAACGACAGAAATGTTAATCCCTTTATGCAATGCATATCTAACATTAGAAACCATATTATGAATTCTCAAAAAATATATAAATAACTTGCACAAAGAAATCTCAGTATTGTGATGTATCAATGACAAAATTGGAAGGAGCTATGAAAAGAATTCAAACCTGCACACTGTTGGTACTCTCAAATGCACACCTTAGACCACCACATCACAACATGGTGAAAACAACCACGTCATGGTGTAGTGACCTAAGGCGTTGTGCTTGGGAGAACACTGCGTACAGGTTCGAAACTTATAAATAACTTTCCCTCTGGATATACATAAGACATCCCCCCCCCCCCCCCACACACACACACACACACACACACACAAGTGTGTTTGTACAAAATGAAATCTTCAGAGAACCAGACACAATAAGAATTCCAGAGAACAACATAGAGCGGATAGAGGTGTCTAGAGTTGAAGTGGAAAATATGCTAAAGGAGCTCGGGAGGAACAAAGCAGCTGGCCCAGATGGCGTTTCACCATGGGTTCTGAGAGAATGTGCATCTGAGCTCAGCATTCCACTTCACCTGATCTTTCAGGCATCCCTGTGTACAGGAATCGTAGCAGACGTGTGGAAACAGGCTAACATAGTTCCAATCTACAAAAGTGGCAGCAGGGAAGACCCCCTCAATTATAGACCTGTATCATTGACAAGTGTAATAGTGAAAGTATTGGAAAAGCTAATCAAAACTAAATGGGTAGAACACCTGGAGAGAAATGATATAATATCAGACAGACAGTATGGTTTTCGATCAGGAAGATCCTGTGTATCGAATTTACTCAGTTTCTATGATCGGGCCACAGAGATATTACAGGAAAGAGATGGCTGGGTTGACTGCATCTATCTGGACCTAAAAAAGGCTTTCGACAGAGTTCCACATAAGAGGTTGTTCTGGAAACTGGAAAATATTGGAGGGGTGACAGGTAAGCTTCTATCATGGATGAAAAATTTTCTGACTGATAGAAAAATGAGGGCAGTAATCAGAGGCAATGTATCGGAATGGAGAAATGTCACAAGTGGAGTACCACAGGGTTCAGTTCTTGCACCAGTGATGTTTATTGTGTACATAAATGATCTACCAGTTGGTATACAGAATTATATGATTCAGATGTTTATTCAGGTAAGGTATATACATACAAGTGATGTTACATTAATGGATTGATATATAGATAGAGCTAGTACATACAATGCCTAAAGCCACTATTACGCAATGCGTTTCGGGCAAACGCATTGAACATGTTTGCTGATGATGCTAAGATAATAGGAAGGATAAGAAATTTAGATGATTGTCATGCCCTTCAAGAAGACCTGGACAAAATAAGTATATGGAGCACCACCTGGCAAATGGAATTTAATGTTAATAAATGTCATGTTATGGAATGTGGAATAGGAGAACATAGACCCCATACAACCTATATATTATGTGAGAAATCTTTAAAGAATTCTGATAAAGAAAGAGATCTAGGGGTGGTTCTAGATAGAAAACTATCACCTGAGGACCACATAAAGAATATTGTGCAAGGAGCCTATGCGATGATTTCTAACTTCAGAATTGCATTTAAATACATGGATGGCGATATACTAAAGAAATTGTTCATGACTTTTGTTAGGCCAAAGCTAGAATATGCAGTTGTTGTGTGGTGCCCATATCTTAAGAAGCACATCAACAAACTGGAAAAGGTGCAAAGACATGCTACGAAGTGGCTCCCAGAACTGAAGGGCAAGAGCTACGAGGAGAGGTTGGAAGCATTAAACATGCCAAAACTAGAAGACAGAAGAAAAAGAGGTGATATGATCACTACGTACAAAATAGTAACAGGAATTGATAAAATCGACAGGGAAGGATTCCTGAGACCTGGCACTTCAAGAACAAGAGGTCATAGATTTAAACTAGCTAAACACAGATGCCGAAGAAATATAAGAAAATTCACCTTCGCAAATAGAGTGGTAGACGGTTGGAACAAGTTAAGTGAGAAGGTGGTGGAGGCCAAGACCGTCAGTAGTTTCAAAGCGTTATATGACAAAGAGTGCTGGGAAGACGGGACACCACGAGCGTAGCTCTCATCCTGTAACTACACTTAGGTAATTACACACACACACACACACACACACACGGCAGGGAAGTAAATGAAATGTATGTCAAATTTTTAAAAATATACGAGGAAGGCATACAAACATTCATACCAAAACAGATAGGCAGGGCCAGAAAACAGGATTGGTTCGACAGAAATTGTGAGAGGGCCAGAGACCAAAAGACACAAAAATGGAATCAGTATAGAAAGAGGCCAAACCCCCAAACATACCAGCGATACAAAGATGCGAGAAACAACTATACGGCAGTAAGGAGAGAGGCAGAAAGAAATTTTGAAAAAGGGATAGCGGATAAATGTAAAACAGAACCGGGCCTATTCTACAAATTCATAAACAACAAATTGCAGGTAAAAGATAATATCCAGAGGTTGAAAATGGGAAACAGATTCACGGAAAATGAAAAGGAAATGTGTGAAACATTAAACGAAAAGTTGCAAAGTGTGTTTGTACAAAATGAAATCTTCAGAGAACCAGACACAATAAGAATTCCAGAGAGCAACATAGAGCGAATAGAGGTGTCTAGAGATGGAAGTGGAAAATATGCTAAAGGAGCTCAGTAAGAACAAAGCAGCTGGCCCAGATGGCATTTCACCATGGGTTCTGAGAGAATGTGCATCTGAGCTCAGCATTCCACTTCACCTGATCTTTCAGGCATCCCTGTGTACAGGAATCATAGCAAACGTGTGGAAACAGGCTAACATAGTTCCAATCTACAAAAGTGGCAGCAGGGAAGACCCCCTCAATTATAGACCTGTATCATTGACAAGTGTAATAGTGAAAGTATTGGAAAAACTAATCAAAACTAAATGGGTAGAACATCTGGAGAGAAATGATATATCAGACAGACTGTATGGTTTACGATCTGGAAGATCCTGTGTATCGAATTTACTCAGTTTCTATGATCGAGCCACAGAGATATTACAGGAAAGAGATGGTTGGGTTGACTGCATCTATCTGGACCTAAAAAAGGCTTTCGACAGAGTTCCACATAAGAGGTTGTTCTGGAAACTGGAAAATTTTGGAAGGGTGACAGGTAAGCTTCTAACATGGATGAAAAATTTTCTGACTGATAGAAAAATGAGGGCAGTAATCAGAGGCAATGTATCAGACTGGAGAAATGTCACAAGTGGAGTACCACAGGGTTCAGTTCTTGCACCAGTGATGTTTATTGTCTACATAAATGATCTACCAGTTGGTATACAGAATTATATGAACATGTTTGCTGATGATGCTAAGATAATAGGAAGGATAAGAAATTTAGATGATTGTCATGCCCTTCAAGAAGACCTGGACAAAATAAGTAGATGGAGCACCACTTGGCAAATGGAATTTAATGTTAATAAATGTCATGTTATGGAATGTGGAATAGGAGAACATAGACCCCACACAACCTATATATTATGTGAAAAATCTTTAAAGAATTCTGATAAAGAAAGAGATCTAGGGGTGGTTCTAGATAGAAAACTATCACCTGAGGACCACATAAAGAATATTGTGCAAGGAGCCTATGCTATGCTTTCTAACTTCAGAATTGCTTTTAAATACATGGATGGCGATATACTAAAGAAATTGTTCATGACTTTTGTTAGGCCAAAGCTAGAATATGCAGCTGTTGTGTGGTGCCCGTATCTTAAGAAGCACATCAACAAACTGGAAAAGGTGCAAAGACATGCTACTAAGTGGCTCCCAGAACTGAAGGGCAAGAGCTACGAGGAGAGGTTAGAAGCATTAAACATGCCAAAACTAGAAGACAGAAGAAAAAGAGGCGATATGATCACTACGTACAAAATAGTAACAGGAATTGATAAAATCAACAGGGAATATTTCCTGAGACCTGGAACTTCAAGAACAAGAGGTCATAGATTTAAACTAGCTAAACACAGATGCCGAAGAAATATAAGAAAATTCACCTTCGCAAATAGAGTGGTAGACGGTTGGAACAAGTTAAGTGAGAAGGTGGTGGAGGCCAAGACCGTCAGTAGTTTCAAAGTGTTATATGACAAAGAGTGCTGGGAAGATGGGACACCACGAACGTAGCTCTCATCCTGTAACTATACTTAGGTAACTATTTAGGTAATTACACACAGACACACACACACACACACACACACACACACACACACACACACACACCAGGTTGGCTAACATAAGAACGGCCTTTAGAAACTTGTGTAAGGAATCTTTCAGAACATTATATACCACATATGTCAGACCAATCCTGGAGTATGCGGCACCAGCATGGAGTCCATATCTAGTCAAGCATAAGACTAAAATGGAAAAGGTTCAAAGGTTTGCCACCAGACTAGTACCCAAGCTGAGAGGTATGAGCTACGAGGAGAGACTACGGGAATTAAACCTCACTTCGTTGGAAGACAGAAGAGTTAGGGGGGACATGATCACCACATTCAAGATCCTCAAGGGAATTGACAGGGTTGATAAAGACAGGCTGTTTAACACAAGGGGCACACGCACTAGGGGACACAGGTGGAAACTGAGTGCCCAAATGAGCCACAGAGATATTAGATAGAATTTTTTTAGTGTCAGAGTGGTTGACAAATGGAATGCATTAGGAAGTGATGTGGTGGAGGCTGACTCCATACACAGTTTCAAGTGTAGATATGATAGAGCCCAATAGGCTCAGGAACCTGTACAACTGTTGATTGACAGTTGAGAGGCGGGACCAAAGAGCCAGAGCTCAACCCCCGCAAGCACAACTAGGTGAGTACAACTAGGTGAGTACACACACACACACACACACCCATCTCTGTTTGTACAACTGGCATATAGCTTTAAATGAGTTCCATCCATTCGTGACAGGGACATTGACAAAAATACCTTTTATTGGATTTTCCAGCCTAACTAATTTCTAACTATTGGCCTTGTCCTTCCTGCAGCTCAGTTTCATGCTGCAATTTATCCACTACTTTCAGCCTGTGTTTTACTCAGTGAACGCTGCCATTGATTGTGTTAAAGTACATACCGCTACCAAACATTTTTGGTTGTAAGTCTTTTATTTATACCCATTTTCCTCAATGTTTACATCCATCTTCACTAAGCTCCCACAATGATGCACTCAATATGTCTCTACACACTCCTAATGTATAGACCCTGTGGTAATACGTGAGCACAGCCACACGGAAGGAAATGTAAAACACACAGTAACCACACTAAAGTTTATTTTCCGAATAAACTGAAGACATTAGAAATACACCGCAAGCCAAGAGTCAGCAGCGGCGGCGGCAGCTCGCAAGAACACCTTCGGGGGCATGTTGGAGACTGAGCCTAGAGAGCTCCTAGTGCTTGTCAGAGGGGGTGAATGAAATTGTCATCCAGCCATTCTGCATTTGTATGATGCCTGGTTTACCTAGTTTACCTGAGAGTCAGTTCCAAGAGTTCTTCTACCCTCCCCAAGGCTGGCCTTGATATAATTTGACATGAAAGTCTGTCGCTTGAAGCGGTCCGTAGAACTGGGTAGGTGTGATCGTGTGGAGCAAAGATGGGCAAGACCTTGGGGATGGTGTTCTTTTCCTACTGGTTTGGTTTATTATGGGCCCATGGGCAGGCTGTGTGCTTTAGTCGGATTTCTATATATGTACTTTATACAGTATATCAATTTTGAATTAGTTATCTTGAGATGATTCTTGAGGTTATCTTGAGATGATTTCGGGGCTTTAGTGTCCCTGCGGCCCAGTCCTCAACCAGGCCTTCACCCCCAGGAAGCAGCCTGTGACAGCTGACTAACACCCAGGTACCTATTTTACTGCTAGGTAACAGGAGCATAGGGTGAAAGAAACTCTGCCCATTGTTTCTCGCCAGCGCCCGGGATCGAACCCGAGACCACAGGATCACAAGTCCAGTGTGCAGTCCGCTCGGCCGACCGGCTCCCTAGTAAACAAGGGGACACCGACTCAGCTTTGCTTACAAAGTGCAGTACACGCACACATTCAAAGTTGTACTTCTGTAACATTCGTTGACATTTCATTTAACAACTGTCGCAAAATCTTTTAAAAAATACGGGAAATGGGTCAATGAAGATTCTACTAATATCAAGTCCAAGAGGAAATATTTTGAGCAGAAAGAAGTCTTGTGCACTCTGAATATAATGATAGCAGAACACCTGTGTTCAAATTTCGGTTTTCAAGGATAGGAAGCCTGTAGTACTTAGAGTAATGAAGGTCCACCCCTCTGCACCCCCAGGCCAACTACTGAACTTCACGGCGATGCACCCCACAACAGTCTCCTAGAACATCCAGGTACCTATCTACTGCTAAGAGAACAGAGGCATCAGGTGTAAGGATACAAGTCCAATCATCTTATTCTGGCCAGGAATAAACCCTGACGAACACTTGGTTGTGGGTCAACTGTGCTGACTACTGAGCTACAAGGATGAAGCAAAGTATATTGATGCAGTTTTGGAAAAAAAAAATCTCCACTAGCAAGTCTATTTGTGGAGAAAAAAAAACAAAGTTGAATATAATGAAACACCTCTTTCTGGTCGAGCCTCAGTGGCTCCCTGTAGCTAGCTCACTGAAGTAACTCCATACACGAGTCACATCGGCCCTCGGAGTCCATATTGCCTACCAGAGACCAGACGGAACCTGGCTTCCCTCAGAGAGGTGCAAAGGGCAAGGGATCATTACGATTACCCTCGCCAAGGTTATTTTTTTTTGGAGGGTGGGGGGTGGGGACATCACACCAAGATGTGTCAAAAACCAAACACCAAGGGAACATCCTGGAAACAAGTGTTCTGCTTTGGAAAGGTAGAACATTGAAGTGGTAAGCCCAAAATGCCCTACGTAACGTGCCTGCCCCCAAGTGGACTCGTCCAGGCCTGATCAAGCCAAACAGCCCATGTGCTCCTGTCCCTCGCATTATACCATAGTGATGCGCCATTAGTAAAATATTTTTTAAATAACTTTTTTGTTTTCATAGTAACTTTGAACATTTTTGGCCAAGACTATGTCTGGTAGCAGCACCAATGGTTCTAGAGGTGTTAAGAGGAAGAAGATTATCCTAACAAATAAAGACAAGTTACTTGTTATACAACTTTGTGAAAGTGGTCGGTCGACACAGAAGGCAAGCTAAACTTGATTCTTATATGGTAAGAAAAGCAAGCAAAGCGCCTTCAACCAGTGAGGCATCACAGGCAAGCCAAGTGCCTTCAACCAGTGAGGCATCACAGGCAAGCCAAGTGCCTTCAACCAGTGAGGCATCACAGGCAAGCCAAGTGCCTTCAACCAGTGAGGCATCACAGGCAAGCCAAGAGCCTTCAACCAGTGAGGCATCACAGGCAAGCCAAGAGCCTTCAACCAGTGAGGCATCACAGGCAAGCCAAGAGCCTTCAACCAGTGAGGCATCACAGGCAAGCCAAGAGCCTTCAACCAGTGAGGCATCACAGGCAAGCCAAGAGCCTTCAACCAGTGAGGCATCACAGGCAAGCCAAGTGCCTTCAACCAGTGAAGCATCACAGGCCAGCCAAGTGCCTTCAACCAGTGAGGCATCACAGGCCAGCCAAGTGCCTTCAACCAGTGAGGCATCACAGGCAAACCAAGAGCCTTCAACCAGTGAGGCATCACAGGCAAACCAAGAGCCTTCAACCAGTGAGGCATCACAGGCAAGCCAAGCACCTTCAACCAGTGAGGCATCACAGGCAAGCCAAGCACCTTCAACCAGTGAGGCATCACAGGCAAGCCAAGCACCTTCAACCAGTGAGGCATCACAGGCAAGCCAAGCGCCTTCAACCAGTGAGGCATCACAGGCAAGCCAAGCGCCTTCAACCAGTGAGGCATCACAGGCAAGCCAAGAGCCTTCAACCAGTGAGGCATCACAGGCCAGCCAAATGCCTTCAACCAGTGAGGCATCACAGGCCAGCCAAGTGCCTTCAACCAGTGAGGCATCACAGGCCAGCCAAATGCCTTCAACCAGTGAGGCATCACAGGCCAGCCAAGCGCCTTCAACCAGTGAGGCATCACAGGCCAGCCAAATGCCTTCAACCAGTGAGGTGTCAGCAGCTGGCAGTCAAAACTAACTTTGCTTAATGAACTGTAAAGTAATGTTAAGTATTAATTTTAGTGTTGTGTTAGTATAGGTTACGTAAATTGTCAAGAATTCTTAACTTCAAGATGTGTGGCATCAATCAAGAAGACAAACAACAACAAGGTAAGTTGTGGTTTCTAGTTGAGTATTTTATAATTATATGTGGCAAGGCAATTCAAATTATGTTTGTGGTATAAAAAATAGTTATAAATGGTCACCTTTGAACTTTTGAGGTGAAAAAGTACGTTAATCCGGAAAATGTGATAATCCGGCTGGGGGTCCTTCCCATATAGTCTGGATTAGCGAGTGTAGACAGTATTGCATGCATATGTTCACTACAATGCTAAAATATTAATATCGTTTACACCTTACCAGATATATTCTGTAAAAAGTAGATTGGAAATGCCCATATCTTTACCAACCTGTATGTTGGTTAAGGTCAAGTTGATTTGTAAGATACCTTCAGCAACAGTCTGCAGGATAGGATAATTCCTGAAAAAGACACCAACCTCTTGGATTGGACGGTAGAGCAACGTCTCGCTTTGTGCAGGACGGCGTTCAATCCCTGATTTAATGCCGACTGGATTGAACGTCCAACCGTCCAAGTGGTTGGACAGTGCTATATAGTCTTAGTGCTATCTAAGTGCTATATAGTTGTAATTACTTGGTACTTTACCCTGATAGCTCCCTCCTGAAAAAGACTAGAATGGCTTCTAAAGTAGATGAGCCCTCAACACCATTCAGAGATAAATAAAACTATGTTAGTGCAGGGTGTTATCAGCAACAACTTTCCCAATCATTCAGTTCCTGTGGATGACTTAAGTCTTTCTGACTATCATCTTCATTTACCACTTCATACAAATGCATAGGTTTGACCTAACCAGAAACGTACGACCTTAAGCAACCCGCCAAACCTATCGAGGTCAGTACACAGAAAATGTCCAAATTACAGTGCTGTCCATTTGAAAATCACTTTGAATTTTTAAGCACATTGTATTTTTAATTGTACGGTTTAATCTATTAAAAAATTAGATGTATTAGGCAAGAGGACGGGATGAAAGAGCCTGGATTCAAGAGTGGCCAAGCCCTCAACATCATCCCTAAGTACAGTATAGTATCCTAGAGACAGTCTACAATACAGCAAAAGGCAAACAAAAAATAAGACTCACAAACACGTAAGCGCCGAGCTGCGTCACGACGGCTATGTTGTTGTCCTCAGACCAACTCACTGGAGACTTAACCAAGACTGAGATAGCAATGGGGATACCCTGAACCAGTTGCCGGGTTTCAATTTTTTCCAGCATCCCTGTCAAGATGAATAAGGTAAGATAAGGCAATTATGAGGAGAAAGTACTAAGTTACTATAAAAAAAATATAGCACCTGCATTTAATGTCTGATACAGTACAGTATAAGAAATTCTTAGTCTTAACCCTCATACTGCTCTGATCTGCATTTTCCCTTTATGTTTCCTTATTTCATTTGTTCACTATATTTTAATCAGGCACACCTTGATGTAGTACATTTAGATAGGTAAAAAGTTTAGGGTTTAAAGTGGACTCTTCAAGTGCTTGAAAAGTTGACCGAAGTCACCAAAGGCTAGCTAGCTAACACACTAAAAAATGCTGGACGTCCTGCATTTTTTAGTATGTTAGCTAGCCTTAATGAGGCTCCCTCTGCACGAGTAGGCTTCAGTCGGTTCTTTCAGCAATTATAAAAAAAAAAAAAGCCTTTGGAAGATATATATGTAGTAGCAACTGCATACTGTAATCTGAAACTAATGACCTTATGTGGATGATATTTCTGTGAAACTTGCCAACTCCACATTTCAACTGTTGACGGTTCAACCTAGCCATCAGGGGAAGCTACTTGTAGTTGGTTCCTGGAGTTGTTTTACTCCCAAAGTTTTACTGTGTGCCTTGTGTTATGCCTAAATTATACCTGGAGTGAGTTCTGGAAGTTGGTACTGAAGTGCTACTGAAGGAGAGAGACTAGCATAAAAGAAATTTATATTTTCTTGGCTGGTTCAGTGATGGTGGTTATGAAAGTAAATGTTACTCATCAATATTGGAACAAAGATTTTGTCATATCACCCCCACCCAGAGGAGGGGTGGGCCCTCGCTGCACTCTACCCTCCATCCTCCCATTATTGCAAGGTTATCTTGGGTAAGATTTAATTGGTTAGGACCAGTATGGTTTGTGGTTTTGGTATGGTTTTATGTGTTACGTAAGATATAATGTATGTAGTCAGATCAGGTATGGTTTTATGTGTTACGTAAGATATAATGTATGTAGTCAGATCAGGTATGGTTTTGTGTGTTAGGTAAGATACAATGTATGTAGTCAGATCAGGTATGGTGTGTGGTTAAGTCAGGTACCATCATACTTTCCAGCAGACAGGATGCACATTTTGGGTCCACCACCACCCAATAATATATATATTTTATATATATATATATATATATATATATATATATATATATATATATATATATATATATATATATATATATATATATATATATATATATATATATATATATATATATATATATATATATATATATATATATATATATATATATATATATATATATATATATATATATATATATATATATACAGTGGAACCTCTATTAACGAGTGGCTCTATTAACGAGTTTTTCCAGTAACGAGCAAGCCACTCGCAGCAAATTTGTCTCTATTGACGAGCTCGCCTCTATTAACGAGTGAAACCACATGGCGCTTCCTAGCGTCTCGCAAATTCTCGGACGCCTCCGACGCCAGTGTTGTTGTATCTCACACGACAAGCATCCCTCTGGATTTATTTGAGCTTTTCTTTGAGTTTTTAGTGGTTTTGCGACTACAATTTGTAACACACGATGTCTCCAAAGAAGCTGCTTGCTAAAGATAGTGTTGTCAAGAGGAAGAAAGACACAATTACTGTGGATTTAAAGAAGGAAATTATAGCAAAGCATGAGTGTGGTGTCTGTGTGATTGATCTCACAAGAAAGTATGGCAGGTCCTCATCAACAATGTACACCATTAGTAAGGGAATGAGGAGGTAAGGGAGGATGCTGCCTCTTCCACTGAGATCAGGGAAGTGTTTGGAATGTTTGAAAAGGTGAACGCATTCTTGGAAAAGCTGCCCTGATAAAGCAGTGACAACCCGGTGTGTGAAAATGTTTAATTAATTTATCACTTTGTGATAACACTTTATGAAAGTGTTATCACTTTCGCAGGTATATGTCGCTTGAACGTAACACACTTTTTTTCTCTTGAATGCACCCAAACACCGTGCTCAAGCGTCATTTGAGCAAATATTTCTATAAAATCCAATTCTTATCCAATCGACTTGGGGTTTGTATACATGTTTGCCAAGAAATTTCCATTTTCTTTAATAACCACATTGCCTATTTGAGAAAACGGCATTGTATTGTATCTTCGTGGTAAGACTATTATATTGTTGACACAACGAGTGTAATCAACGTAGTTTTTTATTTGGTGCTGGTCTAACGCATCCTTGTGTGACATTTGAAATGAAATTTGGGTGAAATTCCCAAGAAGAGAGAGTCCGCCTGACTCAGAGGTGGATTCTCCTTCCACACCATAACCCCTCTCCTCCTTCCCACCTCTCCATCGTCTCCCTCAAGCTAGCAACTACTCTTCATAAGGTAAAGTAAATATTAAAACACTACAACAAAACATTTATATTTACATGTGCAGTATTATATTTACATAAAAAAAAGTCATACAAGTATGGATGTTTTTGGGAGTGGAACGGATTAAATTTATTTCCTTTATTTTAAATGGGGAAATTTGTTTCCAAAGACGAGTTTTCCAGGTAACGAGCTCGGTGCCAGAACGGATTAAACTCGTTAATAGAGGTTCCACTGTATATATATATTATATATATATATATATATATATATATACAGAGCACCACTTGGTTTCCGAACCCCTTGGGGACGAGACCCGTCGGTTAACATGTAAGTTCGTATACGAGAAATAGAGGGGAAAAAATAAACTAGAAATGTAAAAAGAAATTTTTCCGAAAAAAATTACGAAAAAACTCTAGGGGAAAAAATCGACAGGTTCATAGCGTAAATGCGACTGTGTTTTGTTTGTACTCACCAATAAGTGAAGTCCTGATCCGCTTTATAAAAGTCCTTAATTGTTCCTAACTGATTATTAAGACGTCTGGCAAACATCCTCTGGATGTTTCCTGCCAGCCTGCAGGCACATCCTGCCTAAAATATACGATGATGTACTGTACATTTAAGAAACAAATCTGGGTCACAGGTCTGTGGAGTGTGGTTAGGCTTACAGAGTCAGCCGGTCCCTCCCCCACCACCGATACACCTCCCCCTCTCCCCCCACCCCAAACCCATACACACACACACACACTCAAAGGTCACGTGGTTCATGGTTCACTTCAACACCCATATATCGCTTCCTGCCTGCCTGCCTCCTTCCCAGCCTGCAAGCCTGCCTGCCTGCCTGCCTCCTTCCCAGCCTGCAAGCCTGCCTGCCTGCCTGCCTCCTTCCCAGCCTGCAAGCCTGCCTGCCTGCCTGCCTCCTTCCCAGCCTGCAAGCCTGCCTGCCTGCCTGCCTCCTTCCCAGCCTGCAAGCCTGCCTGCCTGCCTGCCTCCTTCCCAGCCTGCAAGCCTGCCTGCCTGCCTCCTTCCCAGCCTGCAAGCCTGCCTGCCTGCCTGCCTCCTTCCCAGCCTGCAAGCCTGCCTGCCTGCCTGCCTCCTTCCCAGCCTGCAAGCCTGCCTGCCTCCTTCCCAGCCTGCAAGCCTGCCTGCCTCCTTCCCAGCCTGCAAGCCTGCCTGCCTCCTTCCCAGCCTGCAAGCCTGCCTGCCTGCCTGCCTCCTTCCCAGCCTGCAAGCCTGCCTGCCTCCTTCCCAGCCTGCAAGCCTGCCTGCCTGCCTGCCTCCTTCCCAGCCTGCAAGCCTGCCTGCCTCCTTCCCAGCCTGCCTGCCTGCCTGCCTGCCTGCCTCCGTCCCAGCCTGCAAGCCTGCCTGCCTGCCTGCCTCCGTCCCAGCCTGCCTGCCTGCCTGCCTCCTTCCCAGCCTGCAAGCCTGCCTGCCTGCCTGCCTCCTTCCCAGCCTGCCTGTCTGCCTGCCTCCTTCCCAGCCTGCAAGCCTGCCTGCCTGCCTGCCTCCTTCCCAGCCTGCAAGCCTGCCTGCCTCCTTCCCAGCCTGCAAGCCTGTCTGCCTCCTTCCCAGCCTGCCTGCCTGCCTGCCTCCATCCCAGCCTGCAAGCCTGCCTGCCTGCCTGCCTCCTTCCCAGCCTGCAAGCCTGCCTGCCTGCCTGCCTCCTTCCCAGCCTGCAAGCCTGCCTGCCTGCCTGCCTCCTTCCCAGCCTGCAAGCCTGCCTGCCTGCCTGCCTCCTTCCCAGCCTGCAAGCCTGCCTGCCTGCCTGCCTCCCTGCCAGCCTGCAAGCCTGCCTGCCTGCCTGCCTCCTTCCCAGCCTGCAAGCCTGCCTGCCTCCTTCCCAGCCTGCCTGCCTGCCTGCCTCCTTCCCAGCCTGCAAGCCTGCCTGCCTGCCTGCCTCCTACCCAGCCTGCCTGCCTGCCTGCCTCCTTCCCAGCCTGCAAGCCTGCCTGCCTGCCTGCCTCCTTCCCAGCCTGCAAGCCTGCCTGCCTGCCTGCCTCCTTCCCAGCCTGCAAGCCTGCCTGCCTGCCTGCCTCCTTCCCAGCCTGCAAGCCTGCCTGCCTGCCTGCCTCCTTCCCAGCCTGCAAGCCTGCCTGCCTGCCTGCCTCCTTCCCAGCCTGCAAGCCTGCCTGCCTGCCTGCCTCCTTCCCAGCCTGCCTGCCTGCCTCCTTCCCAGCCTGCCAGCCTGCTTCCTTTCCAGCCAGCCTGCCTCCCTCCCTGCCATCATGCTAACGGGTAGTGTGTGTTAGGCTTATCTTCGGGAATGAGCCGGTCTCGCCCCCACCACCAACAAACCACCCGCCCCCCTACGTCCCATCTCTCAAGGTCACGCGGTTCAACCGCGTGACTACCACTCACTCCCTGCTGCGCCTGCCTGCCTGCCTGTGCCTGCCTGCCTGTGCCTGCCTGCCTGTGCCTGCCAGCCTGCCTTTCCCTCCCTAATTCTCACTACTTCCATCCCTTCCTGCCTACCTCCTAGCATCTCTCCCTACCTCCCCCTCCCTCTTAGCATCTCTCCCTACCTCCTAACATCTCTCCCTACCTCCCCCTCCCTCCTAGCATCTCTCTCTCCCCCTCTCTCACTGATTCTACCCCCCCCCCTCATTCATACTGCCTCCCACCTAAACTCCATCGTCCATCCACCCACCAGT